AAAGATCCATGTGGTAGTAGCGGCTGGGCTCTATGCCTCGGGAAGTGTCTGATTTGCATGTTCAACCAGTGGGGGGATGACTTAGAGGATCCACATTTTCGGGGACACCTAACCATAGAGACTACACTTTRACTGTGTTACTTTTTAACTGTCGTAAGTCGAGCCCCTATAGCTGGTTACCTAGACCTAGCCTAACTAGACCAAGGCTCCCAAACCCGCAATGTGCCAAGGATTTTACTACAGACCCCTGACTGCTACCATAGAGGACACCCTGATTACTCAGGGACGACCCGGAGCAGATTGGGCTATTTCCAACCTGCATCAACCTCACAGACTCTGGTGGCGAACCACACTTCTATGAACGGTACGACAACCACCCTACCCTTTCCCAGATGAGTCTACTACCTGGAGGAATTCCCTTTGATGTGTACCCCTAAGTGATCTCTCCAGTGGGTATGACAGACCAGGCACTATCCCGGATGAAGCCCATCCCGCAGGCATCATAGGATTTTAACGGGGGCCCACCTGCAGGCATCGTAAGTACGTAGGACCCGTCCTGCTACGACCACACTATAGGGTGCATGAGAGGCGGGATCAGACCAGGACCAGGGCGGGACAGGTATGGGTTCAACCATCGGTGAACCTCTGGATCGGGAAACCCAAGGCGGTACCCAAGACCTCTGAAAACACCCCAGGAGCCCACACAACCCCCATGGAACCTGAAGGGGTTCACACCCCTCATGCTGACTGACACCCTAACCTAACCCGACCCCTAACCTAAACCCCGCACTGGCCAGTATGTCTGGTGCAGACCCGATCATCGGACTGGAGGCCTGACTAAACCCTTCGGGTACCCCTCATTCTCAGGCGCAACCCCAACATCGGACTATCCCGTGGGTCTGATCATTCAGGACGGACGACCCTCCCCCAAAGCCCGCGGTGAAATCCCTAGACTAAATGCAGACCCGATCATCGGGTCGGAGATCAGACCCAACCGAACACCCCTCATCTGTGGAATAACCCCCTCAGTCATCGGACTACCCSAAMGGCYGACCAYTCAAACAGTCCTCCCCCAAAGCCCGCTCCCAGCATACTAACAACATGGACCAGTCCCTTGGGCGGTGCGCAGGCAGTGTCTGTATAAACTTACCAATGCGTCGTCACACACACACACACACTTGTAGCTGTAATTCCCTTTGGCTGTTGGATCTGAGAGAGTGGGACATTCGGCTTATTGGAAATCTGGTTTGCTCTAAATTGGGTTTACTTTTTTCACGTGATTTCTATTAAGATCTTCCAAGTGTTAAGTGGAACACTTTTTTTATGTTTTTAAGGTTTTGGTTAATGAGGCCTCAATTGGGATCTCATTTTGGGTTGAGTATTAGTCATGTAATTGCATCGGGTATAGGCCAGGAATTTGTGTGGTTGTTTTTGCATGTTCATAATATAGAGTTAATATAGAGTTAATCGATATATTGGAATAGGATTAAATTCTACTTTAGTATTAAACATAGACTAAGGTAATTGGATGGCATAGCTTCTCATTACTTTTTGTCCCGTTGCAACTAGAGATTTGTACGGGATGGGCTGAAGACAGGCGTCTTCACTGTGAGAGGTCCGTGGTTGGGGATGGGACTGGCCGGAAGTGCCTCTCCCAGCCTGGTTTGGCTACGGAATTCATGTGAGGGACGCCTGGCCCGCTTCCTGGTTTTGTAATTCAAAATTATTTGTTAAAAAAAAAAAAAAAAGGGTTGGTTTTCCTCTTTTTTTTTTTGAGAGGGAATATTGCTCCAATCTAATTCGCGGGGAGCTTCACGTGCTGTGAACCGGGCCCAGCGTCCCTTATCATCTTAATCAATTTGGGAAAATCAGATCACATACTTACAGGGGCCATTACCCGGCTTCCACTAAAGGACTTCTGAGAAATTGTCAACCATTCCCTGCTACTTGTAAGAATTCACAAATTGAAGGATCTAAGAAGTTCACGTAGGTTTGTCCGCTTCCGCTTCAGCCTTGGTGCTTGTCGCTGCTGTCTGGTCCAAGTTGCCCTCCGTACTGGTAGGGTGATGGTCCTGAGTGCTGGTCACACTGAGGTAGGATAGTAGGGATAGGGGGTGCGCTGGGAGCATTAACGTGGGGAAGGGTAGGGAAGGTGGCCTATCCTGTCAGGACAACCATCGACTGCCGCTGCCAGCGATCACCGTGGGTCTAGTCCTTGGCCTCTACAACACCCTGGGCTCAAAAAAAAAAAAAAAAAAAAAAAAAAGAACTTTGTAAAGAATCTAAAGACCTTGAAGAATTTTGGTCTTATGAAAAATTGATGGCCATTGAGAAAGGGAAAATAATTTACTATTGCAAGCTAAAACACCTAATGCCCCTTGTCAACCAAACCACCATTCGACCCCAATCCCCTCTCAGGCAAGGCTTATCACTAACAAGCCACCATCTCGTAAGCCGCTTGCCCTCCAGCTGTCCGGAAAGCACAACAGTGCTAATAGGACGCGAGATGCTGTCACCTACAGACCACTGCTTCACTTAGCCTAGGCAAGAAAGAACCAACCTCTTCCCCATCCAGATATATACTTGCTTGTTCAGATGGCTCACACCTGCCACTCTTGCTCCCCAACAAGACGAGGTAAGCTGGAGTGATCACCGAAACCCTGGCCAGCAATCAGAGGATGCTCACAAAATCTGCCTGAACAACCCAACTACCACCACTCCCTCCGTGGCAAAAGCGAAAAAGAGAGCAAACCAACCTCCCTCGCCATGGACGTAGACAAAGCACTTGCCACTATCTGCCTCCGCGAAGGGTAAATAAGCACCGTCAACCCCGGCCCCAGATTAGAGCAGCCCTCAATTACTGCCCTTACGCCCCTCGACACAGCACTCCCCTCCAAGATGCTACCGCTGCAGGGTAGAGCTCCCAACCCGTGGGGAAAAAACACATGGTAAAGACTCTAAAGAGGCTTCCCAGTATAATTTGATAATTCATATTCGCAAAAAGAGTTTTGTGATGTGTGAAGTTGCTGGTTCGAAGGAATATTTTACTAGGGAAAACTAGGGCGCAGTCAAGGTTTTCAGTTTTAAATGCATTTCAGTCACAATTTCGCAAATTAACTCCAAAGCCAGGAAAATTGTGAATGCATCCAATCCAACGTTAGGGTTGGGTGGGGATGTGTTGTATTCGAGGGATGCCTGAAGTGGATTTAGAACTGAAAACGTGACTGCACCGTAGTTAACCCATTTTACTATTTTGTTGATTTTCTCTGCTTATTATGTTAGGTGTAAATAGCTTAAAGAAAAGTGATTAAATATATTATCTGGCTGAAAGGTACACCCGTATTCTACATGATTCGGCCTCCTGATTGACGAGTCAGTGAAACTCCGACGAAACAGCTTGTCACAGCCCCTCGTTTGTTGTCATCTTCTCCCTCTCTGCGTACGGCTTACGGGGCAGCATCTCGTCAAAAATGTATATTACTGTAATAATAATCCACTGCATGTGGTACTACTGTGCCCGCTTTCCACCCCCCCCCAAATATAATGTATTACCAATAAGAACTTGAGGCCGCGGTCCTCACAGTCTACCCGGGTTTACGACCTTACCTCCCCCTCCTCCCCCAGGGTAAAAATGAAAAAATTTTTTTATGTTTGACCCAGATGCCCAAGGAGTGGGACTGCTTTGCCACCCTCCCCCCCCCGGGAAAAAGAGAAATGAAAAAATTGCTTCTGCTTGATCCAGATGCCCAAGGAGTGGGACCGCTTTGCCAAGGTGGATACCGTTTTCCGTAAGATCATGAGTGTTGCTGAGGCCATGCCCAACATAAAGGAGGTCATAATTACCAAGCGCAATTTCCTGATATCAAATCTAGCCTGGTGCAATGAGGAGCTAGAAATTATCGAAAAGGGGTTAAACAGTTACTTGGAGGCCAAGCGGCTTGCTTTCCCAAGGTCAGCTACAAATTCAAATTCAAAATTGGCTATTGTACATATATCTATGATTCTATGTTTTTTTTTTGTTTTTTTTTTTTTGGCCCGGGGGTAAATTTCAGTAGAGTCACAAAAACGACTTATAATTGCACTATGGGGAAAGATACAGTTTGCAATTGCACTTCAGGCACCCTACATGCCCAGCAAGCTGGGTTGAATAAATTGCCCGAACTGCACTTCAAAACTGTATCGTGGTCCAAACTATAGTGCAATTATAACTCATTTTTGTGACTCCCGCATAGTTTCCCCTTTCTTTTTTCCTATGTATGTATGTATGTATGTATGTATGTATGTATGTATCTATCTATCTATCTCTCTATCTATCTATCTATCTATCTATCTATCTATCTATCTATCTATCTATCTATCTATCTATCTATCTATCACGTATTATATGTTTGAACATACATCATATACGATATTGGAAAAGGGGTGGGGGGGAAGAAGTACTTGCAAATGAAAGGTGTTTAACAGCTTTAACCCCCCCCTCCTGATTGAGAAGAGGGGGTTAAGCAGTTACTTGGAGGCCAAGCATGTTGCAAGGAGAATGAGCAAATGACAGAATTCCAAATTGCAACATCACATTGAACGCCCGGATATTTGTGAGCTGTCCAGAAAGCAGAAATGCACCAATCTTGCACCAAAGGAGACCAAAACAATGAACGTAATTGTCAATGTCAGCCCTTGTGTCGCCACCATCCTGAATGCGCTCAATGCCTCTTCTCCTACTTGGCGCTCAGCGCCCAGACTACTATCACACAGCTCCTATACTAGCCTCCACTAATGACGACGCAACAGGAAGACTTCAGCAGCAGAATCCAAAGTACGTGACGATGTCACCAACACAAACCTCCATGACGAACCATGTATGTCCCCTCTCTCGCCCTCTCTCTGCTCACCTTCGTCTTCTCCCCATACTTGTCCTCAACCCAAAGACCACCGCCATACCCCGCTGACCTCCTCGAGCCCAAGCGTGGCTTTGCCTGGCTTGGCTCTGTGCTGCTCCCTGCAGCGCCCTCCTTCCCACCTGCGCCTGGGTGCGCTCGGGCTCTTACTGCCAGCAGCCTCTGAGCGCTCCTCTCAGCAGCGCTGCCTCACAACATGGAAGTGCCCAAATGAATGAAAGGCAGACGGGCACTTTCCTATCTGGAAATTGCTCGCCTGTACTGGCAGCCTGGGCCTGGCGACTGTGTGCCCAGTAGCTCCACGTTGGGCCAAAGTGTCTGCGCCGAGGCCCAATTCATACAGCGACCTGGGACCCAAATAGTTAGGCCCGCCCAACTGTACAACGTGGCCTGGGTCACTCACTGCCTCCTGATAGGCTGGAAGGCCTTCTTCCACATCGTGCCTGGAAGAGCCTAGAAGGCTAATGAACCCACGGTTGCATAGCGTGCAGGGCCCTTTAGCCAACTGGCGCCCAGTAACTGTCTGGCGCCCCAAAGTCCCTGAAAATGTCAAGTTTAGGCCTGTTTAAGAAATGCAGGCCCGCCTTCACTTAGGGAAGGCACATTGCTTGCAGCACGGCCCTTTAAGAGCCTGCCGAGGATCAAAATTCCTTGCAGTGTTTAAATCCCCCTCCTTTTTCATCCTGATGCAGTGTTGCATACCCCGACGGCCGGCGCCCTTGACTGGTCGGCACCTACCGGTTGGGGGTCGTCGGCACCCAGCAAAAAAAACAAAAAGGACCCCCAATAACCCCACCAACACCCCCATACCCGCCCCCAATACCCCCATTCAACACACCGGCTTGGGGCTTTCCCGCCTGCCTTGGCGTATTTCCACCTGGTTGGCTGGACTGCCTCTGCTGCGGTTGGGGTGCATGCTCCCCGTCTAGCAACCAACAGTAACACCACAGTGGACAGGGACTCCCCCAAATGGAAACAAAACAAAAAGAAAGAAAAAAAAAGTAAAAGAGGGAGCTTTTTTGCACTTTCTGAAGCCCCGACCGCGTCCCTAAAGTTTCAGTTATCGGCCTCGCCTTTTCCAAAACATACATAGTGGCGGTTTTGAAAAGCTGAAACTGAAACCACACTTCTCTAAAGTTATCCCTTCTTATTAATACTTCGAGACCTCAACGGAGGGTCAGTTCACACCGATTCGTACCGGGACTCGCACCTATTTGCAGCGTCTATACAAAGATGCAAATCACAATCTACCTTTTTTCATGTGATTGTCCTGTAATTCTTAATAGCATTTTAAAATTTAATTACTATTCTCGCTAGCTATAGTGGGTTATACTACCCTTTGTTTTTCCTTCTTCTTTTTTCAAAGGGAGGGGAAAGGGGGGGTGGCATAATGGTGTTGTATGAATCCCATGACTGGGGAAAACTTTCTGCTCCGTAGGTTATGTTCAGAACTTCCAAACTTGAGAAAAAACTTTCAACATAATAATGATTATGTCATTATGATCAATTATTCAAACTTACTTACACTTTGGAGGTTTGCCCCCCTGGATGATTATGGGATAAGTTGCGATAACCACATTCAAAACTTCAATTTGCAAACCAGAATTGGTTGATGTGTGCATCACAAACCATGGTTCGTAAGAGTCCCACGGCTTTGGAAATTATAATAATTATATGGACTAAATGTTCGATTTTCAACTTTTCAACTTCCTGCCTGCCCACCATATCCCCTCTCCTCCCTCCTTATCAATACTACATGTATTATGTGGATCGTCTGCCCGCCCCCTCTTCCCTTTACAATTCTACAAATGGCAACCAACAGTGTTTTTTCAACTTATGTGTTTTTTTGTTTTTTTGTTTTTTGTTTTGTTGGAAAGTAGTAAAGTACAATGCTTTGTATTATTACTTTACAAATGGAACATGAGGTCGCCGGGGACCTCATAATTCAACCCAGATAAAATACTGGGGCCATTACCCAGCTTCGGCTAATTGCTGGAACCCGGGTGGAGCGTCCTCGCATCTATTTTTTCTCTCACTTCCCTTTCCTGGGAAGTGAGAGGCTGGGGACCTCATAATTCAACCCAGAAAAATTTACTGGGGCCATTACCGTCGCAGTTTCAAGCAGTCGTTTGTCCATGTGATGATAATGACAGTCTCGTGCACCTCTTTTCGCTCACTTCCCTTTCCTCTCTCTCTGCAAATTGCTTCATCTCGTCAACCTATCTGCTTGCTGTGCCTTCTCTATTCATCCTGCGAGGGCACCTAGTACTATTACGTATCTGAGTTATTGAGAAGGGCCCGGAGAATGGTGACGGTAAGCAGAAAGGGAGAAAAGGACAAGAAAGAGGGGGCTGTGACACTGTGTGACAGACTGTTTTGTCGGAGTTTCGCCAAGTTATGGGCAGAGGCTGAACCCTCTACAGCCTCCGGAGTGATAAATTAAATCCACCTTGACCCCCGTAGAGTACTGACAACTAGTGCTGTCATTCATTTGCCGGCAGGTTTTATTTCTTGGCCGATAGCGAATTGCTCGAGATAATCTCAGAGGCTCGCAATCCCCTCCGCGTCCAGCCGTACATCCAGAAATGTTTCCACGGTATCCGACAGCTGGAGTTCCAACCGAACCTGGACATCACAGCGTTCGTCAGTTCCGATGGGGAGCGCCTGCCCCTGGATCCTTGTGGCGAGCCTCCGCTCAATCCACAAACAGCGGCGGACAAGGGACACGTGGACCGGTGGCTGGCGCGAGTGGGGGATGCCATGGTTCTTAGCTTGAAGGTGATTTTTACAAAAGCCATCGGATCGTACGGTATTCGGCTCAGCCTCAGGGAATGGCTCAGTTTGTGGCCGGAGCAGGTTGCACTCTGTGTTCGACTACTTTTCTGGACTGTGGAAGTGGAAGAGTGCATACGCACCAGGGGCGATGGGAGTGAGGTGGGTGAAATAGAAAAAGAAAGTCTTTCGCACGAAGAAGATGCAGCAAGCTCTGCTGTTCAAGCACATGCATGTGCTGCCGTTGTACATCGCATGAGTCTTCCGTTCTTCATTTTAAATTGATTGATTTTTGTGTTGGTTGACTTGGAAAGTTTTTTTTTTTYTTTTCAATGATCWTWTYTTTTTTTTTTTTTTTTTTTTCCGAATTGTCTTTTCTGAAAAAAAAATCATTTTTGTATTGATTGACTTTGTAGTAAGTTTGTACTTATTTGTGTCAGTTGTCCTGGAAAGTTCTGAATTGTCTCTTCTCAAAAAAGATTCATTTTTGTATTGATTGACTTTGTAAGTTTGTACCATGGTAACCGACTGGACGTCTGGACCGCGTTCCAGACAGTCCGGAACAACATGTCCAGGTCCGGTGTCCAGTGTCCAGTCCATGATGTCCGGATGGAGGCCCCCAGGGCAAAAATCGAAAAAAAAAAGGTGGCGGCCCAGGACGTTTTTCGGGTCCTGGCCACCCCTTGAAAAATAACGGGGTGATTTTTCAGTGTCGTTTCACCCCACCGGACAGGGCCTAGAGGTCCGGACACAAGACACTGCAGGTTTTTGGGGTGGTGGGTTTCATTCAGGCCCAAGCAATTTCAAAGCGGCTGATTCGACGTGCCGTCCGTCGCTGCTGCCCGTTGGAGAGAGAGAGAGAGAGAGAGAGAGAGAGAGAGAGAGCAGTGACAGTGCTGCCAGTCTGAAGACTCTGACGTTCTGAATTGAGCTGCAAAGTTCAAACTTTGTAAGTTATATGAAGTTATGAACTTAAATCACTTAATTCAAAGTTCAAACTTCAAAGTTAATCATTTTTTTATTATTACTATTTTTTTTGGGACAAAAGCTCCAATCTATTCGTGGGGAGCAGCACATGCTGGGAACCGGGCCCAGCGTCCCATGCAGATTTATACAAATCGTTGGAAATCGTTGGAAATCGTTGGAAATACCAGGGCCATTACCTGGCTTCGGCTAAGAACAATCTGAGGACTATTAAAGGAGTTCAGGAAAATTTAGGAAAACCTGGATAATTGCTGACCTATTGCTAGGCTACTCAAAAGCCACAGAAGTCCTTCGAATGCTCAGAACCCCTGGACTCCCTAACAAAACCCTCTAAAATTCTCTAACAATGTCTTATTCCTTGTCGAGCTCTCCCAGGCCTCATGCCCGTACCCTGCTAGGTTACAGGGCAACACGACTCACCCCAGCTTCGGCCAGCATCGTCCCGACAGCAACCCTTGGTTTTCCTTTGGAAACGCCCGCCCCAAGGCATCCCCAGATCTCTCTACCAGGCCTCACGCTCCTGCTATCAACAGGTTACAGGGCAACCCCCCAGCACCGGCCAGCGTCGTTCTGGCATCGGAAAACCGCAGATCCATGAATATAACAGCATCAAAGAAGCCTAAAGAGAGTTGTAAGAAGTACCCAGAATCCTAAGGCATTCTCAAGACCACCAAAAGCAAACGAGAACAACAACATTGAAACAATCAAAGGAACAATCCTCCCTCTTCCCTCCAACCCCCTACTCTTCTTCATCCCCCGACGAGCCGACCTCCTCCACCACATAGTTTGCAGGATGAGAACAGCATCTGCACCGGGGAGGTCGGCTCGTCGGGGGATGGAGGGAAGAACAATCCACCCTACCATCGCGCATCCCTGCAAACTATCTCTACTCTTCTTCATCTGGCGATGAGCCCACCTCCTCCACCACATAGTTCGCAAGAAGAAGAGCAGTAGAAGGATTGGCTCACCGGGACCCACGACGAGTAGTAGCGTACCTCCATCTTCTCATGACAAGCCAACCTCCTCCGCCACATAATTCGCGAGATGAGGGTTGTCTAGGCAACAAAAAGCTTAGAGAAAACCCGAGGGCCCTAAGAAGAACTAGCAAAAACCAAACTAGAGGGGATGACGCTCAACCATCCAACCTCAATCGGCTTCGACCTCCCTCCTTGATATCAAGACTCTTCAAGGCCTCACACCCCCAAATGCTAGGGTACGAGGCAGCGCAACGTGCCTCAGAAGACTCCCATCTGTTAGGCTACAGGGTGGAACGACCCACCTCGGCTCCGACCAGCATCGTCTTGATAGCAGCCCCAAAAAGCCACAGAATGGCCTGCCCCTCTAGGCGATTCCCGGGACCTCTTACCGAGCCTCCAGAGCCCTTATCACGCTTGAGTTACATGGCAGCACGACCAAACCCGCAGCTCCGACCAGCATCGTTCCCGCTCGGCCATCCGAAAGCATAAGAGTGAAAGGCATATATTTTGCCAAATAACACAACATCGACCGAACCGCCAAGCATCATCACAACCCTGATTTCAGAGTCGCTGGCACTGAAATCCCACAGGAATTTGAGTAATTAAGGACTCGACCAAGGTTAGAGTATCACTAGATTGAAAACCCTGAAATACAGTCAAACTAAATTATTGCAATTTGGACTCTGATTAAAATGGACATCTAATTAGGCTGATAAATTTAGAAGGCGAATTAAAAGGCGTATTACAATTTTTTTTTTATTTTTTTTTATTTTTTTTCAAACCATACAAAGCTCCATCTATTGGTGGGGAGCAACACCTGCTGGAAACCGGGTCCAGCATCCCATAGATACAACCATATCCTCACACATTGGCACGGACTGGGAACCGGGCCCAGCGTCCCTTAACGAGTACATTCGGAAAACTCATCGAGAAATTTCATGAAAATAAGACTAGGAATCCTTGGACCTACTAGAAAAATCCAATTGGCCTAAGAATGGAATTTGAAAAATGAGATACCGGGGCCATTCCAGCCCTGTCTATGACAACCTCATGATTCATAAACGACTCAGAAGAACCCCCATCAATCCACTTAACCTCCCTCTGGCAAGACTGACTGCAGCGGAGCCACCATCTCTGCTGCTGCTATGCCATACTCCCATCCTGCCAGCTAGCCCCCTCACTGGTAGGACGCGTGATAACCCCCCATCTTCTCCCATTCTCCTTATTTTTTGAATAGTATTTGAAGATTAAGATACCGGGATCATTACCCGGCTTTGACTCAGAGATATTGGAGCAGCTTCAGACATGTCCACAACAATCCCCACTCCAGCAAGACTTACTGCAGCAGAGCCACCATCTCTGCTGCTGCTGTGCTCTATTCCCATCCTACCAGCTAGGCCACTCACTAGTAGGACGCGTGATGCCCCACCATCTTTTTCCGAAAACTGCAATCGCAGAAGTTCTGTCTTGGTCATCAAAAGGGAGATCCCGGAAGACCGACAAGTGCAACACCCCCACAGTTCTGTCTTCGTCATCGAAAAGGAGGTCCCGGGTATGTTCTAATGAGGTCAGCTGACCACGGCCGGTACCCATCGAGACTACACTCAATGCCAATCGCATTCGTTCTCAACCACCCCCATCCAAACCCCCTTCAACTCCCCAACTCCGTCCTAGTGAAGGGTTCGAAGGATCAGATCCTTAGCACGAGCCAGACACAATCCTCATCCTACAATCTTTTGCCCCCTCGGAGATTCCAGTTTCCGTCATCGAGAGGGTAAGCCAGCGCTGCCTGAGGCCAATCGCACCAAGATGATCCCTTATCAGCCGGTACCCATCCGGCAACTAACGCTGCCTGATGCCAATCGCATCTAATAAAGGTCCCCCAGCCGGTACCCCACAGACGACCTGATTCCACCCTCTCTCCGTCCTCACAAAGAGTCATCTCGTGCCTTTTGCCCTCCACCTTGAACAGATCCCCCAAAACCCAACAGAACCTCCACTCGCCTGTCACCCTTTCGCCTCCCCAACTCCGTCCTAGTAAAGAGTTCGAAAGACCATGTCCTCAGCAAGAGCCAGACACGATCCTCATCCTGCAATCTCGCCCCTCGGAAATTCCAGTCTCCGTCATCGAGAGAGTGAGCCAGCACTGCCTGAGGCCAATCGCACCAGAGTAAACCCTTATCGGCCAGTACCCATCCGACAACCAAAGCTGCCCGACGCCAATCACATCCAATGAAAGTTCCCCTAGCCGGTACCCCTCAGTCAGCCCCGATGCAGCTCTCTCTCCGTCCTCGCAAAGAATCATCTCGTGCCCTTGCCCTCCATCTTGGACAGATCCCCCCAAAATTCAACAGAACCGCCCCATACGAATTTACGAGATTTGAAGCGAATTTAAGCCAATTATTTGGGACCATATGCAAATTACCATAGGAATATTTGGGGGAATCCCTCCGGTGATAGTGGTGCTGTTATAGGCAATCACCACTACCACCCGGGGAGAGGCTCCATCTATTGGTGGGGAGCAACACCTGCCGGAAAACGGGTCCAGCGTCCCATGTACAAATCACGTTTGAGGAGCATCAGAAAGGCTAAATGCTAAACTCTGCCGGCATTGATTACCCTGACAAACAGGGGATTGACTGTGCAGGTCCTCTAGCTAAGACCCAGGACTCATAGCACTCATGTACAATCTGATTTTTGAATCTCAAAGTTTTTGCAGATAGGTCAAGATAGACTTGACCAATTAAGCAACTAAACTAGGAAAAAACTACGGTCACTTAGGAATCACTTAGGAATCTGATTAAGATGTACAAAACCAAATTACGGTCACTTAGGCATCTGATTAAGATGTACAAAACCAAGAAAACATCAATTAAGCAAATAAATTTAGAAGGCGAAATAGAAGGCATATTTCAATCTGATTTTAATCCCAAAGATCTCGCAGATAGAGCAAAATTAGACTCAACCAATTAGGCAACTAAACTAGGAAGAAAATTACGGCAAGGATTAAGACAAGGCAATCTGAGAATCACAATCGTTAAGAATCTCACCAGGATCTACATGATCTACAAGAACTTTAAGCTAATCGTTATTACTATCTCAGAATCAACACTACGAAACATGAAGAGGAAGAACCCAAACCTACCCTCGACAATCCTTAACGCACCCCTCTCTCTCCAAACCTCACCTCCTCCTTCATCAACTCTTCTCTATTTCTTTAGTCTTGTGGCTGCTTTGCACTGTTTGCAACTCTGCATGTTTGCTAGTTGAATATACTTGTTGATTTGCTGCAAGCCTGCAAGACGGGTGCTCTGCTGCCTGCACTACAAAGTGCAAAGCAGGTGAGTGCCTGCCAACACCCCCATCCACCAACCCCCCCCCTCTTGTTTTTTTTTTTCTGTTTTTTTCCTAGCTGACCAGGGAGGACGTTCGGGGGCCCTGAGGTTGTCCAAGTCGTTCGGTCGTACAACTCCGCGGGACGTCCGCCCAGAACAACTTGTCCGCCTGGGGAAAAAAATAGGGGGGGCCATATTTCGTCTGTTTGGGGTCCAAGGCGTGTCGGGGAGGTTGAGGCCTACCGGACCAGGGTCCACACACATTTTATTTTGGGCCAGTAGGCCCTCAAATTTTGAAAAAAAAGGCCCCAACCTGGGCCGTCCAATCTCGGAGATCTGTGGGGATGGCATAGCCCCTGCCATGTCCCTACCATCGTCCTTTTTTTTTTTTTTCAATCAATCAATCAGTCAATCAATCAATCGATCAATCAAGCAATCCAATCAATCAATCAATCAATCAATCAATCAATCAATCAATCAATCAATCAATCAATCCAGTCAGCCAATCAATCAATCAATCAATCAATCAATCAATCAATCAATCAATCAATCAATCAATCAATCAATCCAATCAATCGATCAATCGATCGATTGCAAACCGATTTGGATCTGCAATCGATTGATTGGAATGATTGATTGATGGGTTTAATTGATTGATTGATTGATTGATTGATTGAATGGATTGATTGATCGATTGATTGATTGACTGATTGATTGACTGATTGATTGATTGATTGATTGAAGAAAAAAAAAAACTAAGAAGTGTATCGACAGGGGGACTGCGATTCTAAGGCGAAAAGGTTCTGGGGGTCGCCGCGGCAGAGTTGCAGCATGTGGCCGTGGCGGTGGGCAAGGATAATGAATCGTCGGAGGAGAATGGCGAGGAGGAGGAGGAGGAGGCGTGGCAAGAGGACGAGGAGGAGGAAGAGGAGGAGGACGAGGAGGAGAAGGAGCGGGGATGGCATAGCTTCTGCCATGTCTTGGCCATCCTTTTTTTTTTTTTTTTTTTCCGATCAATCAATCAGTCAATCAATCAATCGATCAATCAATCAATCAATCAGTAAATTCAATCAATCGGTCAATCGATCGATCGATTGCAGATCGAGATCGAAATCGAAATCGCACGACACTTGCATACCCCCTTGGGCTGATGCAGGTAAGCTATTACAGACACTGCTTGCGCACCACCCAAGGGTTGCCCACAATGTTGTATGTCAGGTCCCAATGCTGTGTGGGTTGTTTGTCGCTGTTGGTCGTGGTTGATCTGTTGATCTCCCCAGTCTGGCATATCACACATAGGTGCCGTTTGCGATTGTTGCTCATATGGTAGAGTATTCCAGTCACATGTCATAGATCACGGGTTCGAGCCTGGCTTGGGAATTTTGGGGGGTTCTTGTCCAGCTTGGCCTGTCATCTCTTCAAGAACACAGAGTTCCCTCCACATAGTACTGCACATATCTGGCCTTCGGGCACATACATCCTGTTATATAGCTACACAGAGCATGCATAGCCTCCGGGCAATGGGGGCATACACAAAAACATGGCTTGTGAACATACACACAGCCTGCGGGCTCATACATATATAGCCTCTGGGCACACATATACATACAACTACAATACCGGGCTGGAGGGGTCTGTCAGGTACATGACGGGGTCTGCTCATGCATGGCTTAGACTCTAGGGTAGGGTAGGGGTATAAGTTCCTCCGGCTAATCTGAGTTCTGCCTAGCCTTGGGTAAGTTAGGGGAAGGACGGTAGGATGTGTCCATGGGCGCCAGCTTGCCTTGGCTAGGTACTCCTGCTGGGTAGACTCTCTGATATTGGGCCTGTAGAAGATTGCATGAGCCGGGTGTCTGAAGTCCCCATACGCCAAGGTTTGTCCGCTTCCGCTTCCACTAGGGCTGGGGGGTTGCCCAGCCATGTTGCTTGTCACTGCTGTCCGGTCCAAGTTGCCCTCGATACTGGTAGGGTGATGGTCGTGAGTGCTGGTCACACTGAGGCAGGAGGGCCAGGGGGTGCACTGGGAGTGGGGAAGGGTAGGGAAGGTGGCCTATCCGGTGAGGACAACCATCGGCTGCCACGGCCAGCTATCACCATGGGTCTAGTCCCTGGCCTCGACAACGCCCTGCGGTTTTAAAATTGGAAAAAAAAAAGGAAGAACAGGGATGCTGGGTATGAGCAGTCACGGCTAGCGACCCAATTTTGAAGGTTCTTGCCTATTGCTGGGGAGCTGCACCTGCTGGAAAACGGGTCCAGTGTCCCTTATATAAGGTTCCGAGAGCATGATTTTTTTTTTTTTTTTTTTTTTTTTTTT